TCCCGTCAGCAGCCCTTGGAGGGCCTAGGCCCAACAGAAGCGATGTTTAACACGACACCACGCACGCCTTCTTTGACACCCTGGAACTGCAGTGTCCCCAGTGAGGGCTGGGGATGCTAGCGGTGGAGCTTGCCTAGGTGCGCCAGGCCGGCTGTCCCCGGCCTCCAGGGAGTGCAGAGTCCCCGGGAACTTGACCTCAGCTGTGCCCGAGCTGAAGTGGCCCGTCTCCTACTGCTGCTTTGCCCGCGGCAGTAAGCTCCGTCCCGAACTCGCACTTACGCAACTATTGCATTGCTTTGGTTTCTCTTCACATGTATTATTAAGAAATGTATTTTCATTAGTTTTGTGTGTGTTTTCAAACTTCGAGCTACTGTCCTGGGACTTCTATTTTCACAGAAGGTTAAGGTTCATCATTCATTTGAGATTGAAGATTCATTCATTCATGGGCCTGGGGTTGAGGCTCAGTGGTAGAGCGCTTGCCTAGCTTGTGAAGCACTCGATTCGACCCTCAGTACCACAAAAAAATAAATGAAGTGAAGGTATTGTGGCCATCTACATATACATATGTGTATGTGTATGTATAAATATTTCCTTGAATGCCTACTAATGTATGTGTGTGTGTGTATATATATATATATGTAAAACATGCCCATATATATGCATATATAAAATCATTGATGAGTAAAATTGTGTTTTGTTCATTTCCGCTGCTACTGTTCATGAACCATCCAAAAGGCAAGGATACATAATAATCAATTATGTACCATTATTTATCCATTCTCCAGTTGCCAAACACAATTTCCAGTCTTTTGCTATTTCCAATAGTGCTGTTATGAGCATTACCTTCTGGTGCTCCTGCACAAAAATTTCTCTTGGGTATATTTACCTAGGGGTAGAAAGGATAGGTCTTTCATAGGCCAGTATTTAATTTTATATGACAGTGCCAAAATTTTTATCCAAAGTGTTTGTATCGCTTTACATTCCTACTGTCACTGAAGGGGGTTCAGGGAAGTCCTACAGAGGAAGACCCAACTCAGGACATCAGGGTCTTTGACAACTTTTCAGAAAGGAATTTCAGGGTATGTCAGAAGCACAGATTTATTTAGGAAAGTAGAGCAGGCATTCAAGGGACAATATGGTCTATGAGTGAGATTGCTGTTGGGGTTCTCAAGCACTTCTTTAAAAGGAAACTTGGTGAGGGGTGGGCACAGGAAGGTATATGGGGATGACATCAGTCTGATGATCACCCAATGGTTTAGAGTAGTTTGGCAATTCTCAGGATCCTTAGGTTGTCTTCTTATCCATTATCTGATCAACTTTGGGAAATTACCCTATATTATGGGCTTTGTATCTTTCTTTGCTCAATCTGTTCTAAAAATACATATATTGGTGAGCTAATTAACAGGACATGGACAATTTTCATAAGTGGGTGAATTTCTAGTGACCTTAAGATTGTAAGTGAAGATTTGTGGATTTCCTAGAAATTTGAGAGTGACAGGCCAGAGAGAGAGAATCAGCTTGGAAGTGAGGGTGGTAGACAGTAAGAGAAACTTCAGTACAAGTCTTTGAGATTGAAGTTATAGTCTCCTTTTGTTACCGCTGTTGACCAGTGTCAAGTCCTTCCCAATGTTGAAAAATAACACCAGAGAAGCATGTCGAGGCAAGGTCAGAGTGGAAAATTAGAAGTTTATTAAAACAGCAGAAAAGACTTCTCCCTGAGGAAGAAGGGGACTCAAGAGGTGGAATCCCTGGAAGTGTGGTTGTTTCCCCTTTTTATAGTTTTCAGTGATGGAATATAGGTGGGAAGGCCCAAGGGGTGGGACACAGGTGGCCAAAGAAGTAATCTGGGCACTTCCGAGTCAGCATCTTCAAGTCTGCTGTTCATTAACATTTCTTTGGGATGGGCTATCTTCAAATCTGCTGGGGGCTGTTTCCTGGACTTCATTAACATTCCGAGAATTGCTCAACTTTTCCGGGAATTCATTCTCAACATGGCCTCCATTTTAGATCTCACTTGATATTAGACCCGATTTACCTAACTGTAAAGGTAAAATTTCTAAGCTGATTCTAAGCTGCAAAAGCCTGAGTTAAAGTGTAAAAGACTGGGCATTGTAAAGTTTCTAAATTGCAAGGCCTGGGCTAAAAAGTAAAATACTAGGTATTGTTAAAATTCCTCTGCTACCCCCAAAACTTGTATTCTCTGTAGCTGTTAGTACAATACTGGAACTGCCCAGTAAATATTTCCATTGATTCCCTGGTTGTTTAATAGCTAAGGGCTCCAAGTAGCTTGGCACGTAGGCATCCACTCCCAAAACCAATCAGTTTGAATGTGTATCCTGCTTAGGAGTGACCAATCACCCCTGCCCAGCCTGTTCCCGCCAATGAATGTACTAATCATGTCTCAGAGTTGTTGTTCAATTTTCCCGCGCCTCATGATGATTTGTTCTGATGTATGCAAAGCCCCCCGCCCTCCAAAAAGTGTACTTAAGCTCTGCTTGACCTCTGCTCTGGGCTCTGGGCTGCTCTATCTTCTTGAGTGAGCCTGGAACCTCAGCATGCTGAACCAATAAATCCCCTTTGCCAATTGCATGAAGCCAGTCTCTTGTGTGGTCTCTTCCTACAACGCTCTGCCGGACCCTTACATAACTACACTGACTACCTAATTTTAAATCTGGCTTCACTTTCCCTTCCTCTTGTCTCTTTTTTTGCCCATCTTTTAAATATTTCTTCTATCCTACCTCACCACCAGCAATTACATCTTCTCAAACATCTCAGATTTCTTGGTTTTTGTCGTTGAGATGAGAGTTAAGTGGCATCTCATCCTGGCTTTATTGGCCTATCTCTGAGGTTGAGCATCTCTTTTACATATATTTTGGCCATCTTAGTTCCTCTGCTGAGAAAATTTAGGGGGCTTACGGTATTTTAGGGCTGAAAAAAGAAAAAAAAATAAGACCAGGATGTGGATAGCCCACACAGGCTTTCCCTGGGCCAGCATTGACGGGTTGGTATGCAAGGGAGTTCTTCACAACACATGAAGGTGCAGGGAAGGGAGGAACTAATTCCAAGAGGGAAGAAAGGCAAGGAAACCCCCAGAGGAGAGGGAGCTTGCTGTGCTGTTGTTCACAGCCTTGGAAAGTCTCTGGGCCAGAAAGCTCCCAAGGCAGCAGCCAGTCAACTGGACTTTATAACTGGAGTGTTTATCTTATCTGTGGCTAACAGATGGTGGGCACAGTTTCATAAGCTTCAGGCAAGCATCTCCAAGTGGCTAACAATCTGCTTTGATGTGTAAGGGTCCGGCGAAAAGTCGGAGGAAGAGACCACTAAGAGACTGACTCATGCAATTGCAGAAGGGGATTTATTGAGGATCCAATTCAGCGTGCTGAGGCTCCAGGCTCACTCAAGAAGGGAGAGCAGCCCAGAGCCCAGAGCTGAGGTTAAGCAGTGCTTAAGTACACTTTTTCAGGAGGGCGGGGGCTTTGCATACATCAGAACAAATCAGCATGAGGCGCGGGAGAATTGAACAACGACTCTGAGACATGATTAGCACATTCATCGGCGGGAACAGGTCGGGAGGGGGTGATTGGTCATTCCTACAGCGGGGTACACATTCAAACTGATTCGTCTGGGCCCTGAAGTGTGTCCGTGCTGGACTGCACGGTTTCTGGGAGGGTGTTGTTTTTGGCTTCTACATGAATTGCAGGTTCCAGGAAAACAGAACTTAATTTCACTTCAGGAAATTGCAACTTAACAGAACTTTAAAAACTTCACAGAACTTGAAA